CAACAACTACAAAATAGCTACTCATCTCAATTCAATTTTCTCATTAACTCATACTACATCTGATCATGCATACATCTCTACACAAAAGCTTGTTTAAAACTCAAGTTGGTTGGATTTACTTACCTTTGTGCAAAGATGACTTCTTTAGCACTTTTCCTTCCCTTTGTGTCTTGTCTCTTCTCTACAACTCAAAATACCACACAGGACAGCAACAACCAAATAAGACTTCACTACAATTATAAGAAACTCACATCTAAAGCATGAATTCTTACCTTATGATGCTTTAGATGAAATCTCTACTCAAACCCCTCTTAATCCTTTAGAAACTTGGAAGAATAGATGGAAATTAGAGAAAATGGGCAAATGGAAGAGGCGGTGGAATGAAATAAAGGGTTTTCTCTACACTTAACCCTTTTTAGTTCATATTATAACATCCTTTCCCATTTTGCCCTTGCTCTTCTTTGGAAATTCCATCTATATCCTTTGATTCTTTACAATACATCCAAACACAATCTCTACTAAATTTCCTTTCATTTTACTCTCCACTTTTCCTACTAATTAGGGGTAGAATGGTCATGTTGCCCCAAAAGAGAATTCTCTAGAAAACTCAAGAAACTTTGTATTCTCGCTCGTCGCCGCGGCGAAGCTTTTTTCGTCGCCTCAGCGAAATAGGGCAGACCTACCCGTGGTGCAACTCCTCCTCCTCGCCACGGCGAAGCTCCTTCTTCGCCCGGCGAAGATTGGATTTCCAGCTTCACCAAAACTCAACCAATTTCAAGGCAACTTCAACCAACTCAACATACAAACTCAATTAAAGTTGAAACAATAAACTTTTTAACTATACAGCAAATCTTAAATACGTACCTCAAGTGGGATATTACAACTACTTTGCTATTTTTCAGCAATTTTTTGTTTTTCATCTTGGACTACATTGCTAGCCTAGTTTCAGGGACTTCTCACTTGCCAGGTTCTAGAGAAGAACTAACCTGAACATACATTGTTCCTTTGAAATATTGGAATGATATTTAAATTTGTATAACAGCAACATGCAGATTCTCTCTATTACTGCTTAATTTGCTTCTCTTTCTTCATAAACCTTCTTAAAAATATATTCAGAAAATCCCTGAAAAATTTTCTTTCTTTCTTTCTTCTCTCAAGAAATAGAGAAATATATCTGGATTGTACAAGAAGCAATCCCTTAAGACATTGAATTCCTCATTAATTAAACTCCATGAAGGAGAGCTTGTATGAAATATATGAAGCAAATCTTCATTGCGTAGTTTTAGTTAAGTAAGCAGATTAGGTAGACATATCCAACCATCCTTCTGGAAGCATATTTAGATTCAAAGCTAAAAGAAAAAGTTTTATGCGAAGGAATTCTTTATATGCTTCACAGTTTAAGACATCTACTTTGCTTTTGGTTAAACCAATCTCACCCTTCTGCTTTACTCCTTCCTGATGTTGATTTCATAGTACCAAATCATGTGCTCAACTACATATGGTTCTTTAGATTTTAAGAATAATTTTATCTAATAAAAAATTGGCATTCACTCCTATCTATAAAACTTAATGCTTTCAGGGGCATCAATCGTTCACTATGTAACATAAGAGAAAAAGTTTCAGGTTCTATTGTGTTTCTGTGCCTTGCTTGTCCTGTCTCAGTGAGTCTGCTAGCAAGAATCATGTGCAAAGAAATTAAGCAATTTTTAATGGAAGAATCTTGGAAACTTGACAACATGGCACATGCCAACGAATTGTTTTGGAGTAAATCCAAGCAAAAATATTCTTTCAGGTAAAGTTTCCCTAAGTTTATCTCTTAATTTGTCCAGTTTTTTCCTTAATTGCAATAGACAAGGGACAGTCTACCATTTCTCAAAATATGTCTTCTTATATTTTTCGTACTAATCCGGCAGAAAATCTGTTAAACAAAGGTTTCTGAATAATTCACTGGTATATTTGTTAGTGTTTATGTGCTGGAGATAATTAAGAAAAGATTGAGAGCATAACATGATTGAAGAAAAGTGCCTGAATTTTCTTAAGTTCAAAATGAGTTTACACTTCAACTAATAAAGCAGATTTTACACTATTACACCAAACATGCAGACATATAAAAAACTTAATTTAATTTGAAGCTACTGACTTAATACCAACTAAACAACAACTATGTAACACATCCCACATAATCTGGGATACATATCAAGCATTACAAAATGAGTAAAACTTTGCAGTGTTACAAATGGACCCCTGGCAGATTGCCTTTCAGTTTTACCGCCAAAAAACATGTTTGAACATCAGTTGAACCGCTGCATTTCCAGCCAAGTATCAACCTTCAACAATATTCCTCTCCAATGTGGAGGCTGTATATACATACAGGTACAATAAATACATAAAATTGGAAAATAAATCTCTTAAATTAGGAAACTGTTAAAGTATGTGATATTTTGCTGGAAACTGGTTTGCTGTTCAAGTTTCTATTTTTGGCGCCAAGTTTGCGTATGTTAGAGGCTGTCTTTCAAATGCTGTATTTGGTTGTTTTTTGAAATTATTATGTAATGTTTTTAGGTGATGACAGCCGGTGATTAAGGCCATTATATGACATTGTAAATTAGTATTAGTTAAGAGTTGTTTAGAGTGCCTTGTATTTGCAAAAAGTTCTCACTGCAAGAGTTGTTGTAACAGTGAAGAATTTTGTGTTTACATTCCCCTGTTCAATGAACGAAAACAGAGCAGATACAAGCTGAAGTTTTTCTCTATTTTCAACTCTCTCTTTCATGCATGTTAACCTTCTTTCTCTTAGCATAACCAGACTCAAAAACCTACAGAAACAACCTATTCCGAGGAAAACTAAATATTCCTATATTAAATTACATTTAAACAAAACATTCTAGAATTAAATCCCAAATATTCTAGGATTAATTACAAATTATTTCTAATATTTTACAGCTCATGTCGACAAAATCAGACAAACAGTGGTATACATAAAACAAATATCCTAAGCAAAATCGCTGGCAAAGGCTTCTTTAAACGTTTTGTGGTCAAAAAAGTTTGCAGGTTCAAGCTGAGAATGGAGGAAATACCAAATATGCAGCAAAGGCCGCGCCAGTTCATCAGAAACAAGAAGATGGTACTGCAAAAGATAAAGCGAATGCAAGTTGGGGACAAAATCCAGGCGTTGACCAAGAAATAAAAAATAAGATTACCAATGGACAGCCGGAAAAGAGCAATGGAAGTCTTGGATATGGGGACAAGCCTGAAGTTTTGGGCAGCTTTGATCATTATGATACTAAACCTGTTAACAGCCTTAAACCAAATCACTTATTGCCAAACAATCAAGAAAGCAGTTATACAAGCCCTGCAGAAAGAAGCAATGAAAGCTCCCGAATTGGAGAAAAGAAATTGGATTCAAATCTGCAGAAAGCTTTTGGAAGCTCTGATCTGGATGCTAATATGAAGCCTGTTGGCAAACCAGATCACTTATTGCAAAACAAGCAAGCAAATGGCTAAGGGATCCCCACCGGAAACAGCAGTGGAAATCCTGGAGTTGGCGGCAAGCAAATGGATCCCAAACTAATGCCGGAGCATAAGACAAAAAAAAAAAGGACATGGGAAAGATATTTTAATTGTATTGACTTTTTGTCCCACATGGGAAAGAATGTAGGTTTTTCAGGGTTCTAAAGCTAAGAGAAAGAAGGTTATTTGTGCATGAGAGAGAACTAAAACAGAAGAGAAAGAACTGATACAAAACAGTCTATGTTTTTCATTCAAAACAGAGAAATATATGGACATCATACAGCACTGTTACAACCACTTCTCAGTATAAAATAATCTTTAAAATGTTACAATTTGAACTACCCTTAACAAACACAAATAGCATTGGGATTTTGTGGCCTTAATCACCGGCTATCTTCACCTAAACAATACACAAATATCACTTGACAGACAGTCCCTTTAATTCAAAAACTGGCGCCAAACTTTCAAACCAGCCATGCAAAAAGTTTCCAGCAAAATATCATTTGCTTCAACAAAGAGATGTTTACCTTTTTCACTTGGAAGGCTATAAATAAAGCCTTGCTTTATCCCTTGTAATCATCCATTATCATTATCAAAATATTTGAGTTAAAGCACTTGCTTTTCTCTTCCTCTTTGAGGTTTCTTTTAGATATCCTTGGCTTAGCCAACCAAGGTGGGCTTTTTGGCTATTTTTGCCATAGTGAGGTTTATTCTAACCTCATCATAATTGGCATCCATAGTGGGGTTTTCAACCTCGCCAAAATTGGTGTTCTCGTGACGTCCCGGTGTCACAAACTGCCAGAAATTTTCAGCAGTAGTGTTCAGGATACTAAAGCGAATAATGGTAGTCTTGAAGATTGGTGTTGTGCTGGAAGTAAGATTTGCTGTAAGTTGAAGCTGTTTTGCTGCTGTGGATGGACGTGCATGGTGCTGTTCTGAAGTTCAGTAACTTAAGTCCTGTATATTTTAGTGTTAATTTTGAATTAGTTGACTCAGCTTATTTTGTAATGAAGTTGTTTGAAGTTGTTAGAAGTGAGTGGTTTAGCTGAGATTAAGTGAAAGTTCTGACAGTAGTTGGAACATTGAACAACAGCATGTTATATTCAGTTTTCTGTCTAATGAAAAGTAGTCCAGTTTTTATTCATTCTCTCTCTTTTCTTTGGACAACCGGCATTTACAAAAACACTAACATGGTATCAGAGCTCAATTAACCAACCATCATCTAACAAATTCACTCAAAAAAAACTCATTCAAAATCACCATCAAACTTCGACCTTCTGCAAGAACAAATTTTCCAGAAAACTGTAACCAGTTTCAGCATGGCTACTCAATCAGCTTCTCTCTCACCTCCAGTGTTCAATGGAGACCAGTATCACATATGGGCTGTTAGAATGAAAGCCTACCTAAGAGGACAAGGGCTGTGGCAGTATGTGGAAGAGGAGAAACAGCCACCGTAACTTGGTCCAAACCCAACCTTGAATCAAATTAGGATGTATGAGGAGGAAATGTCCAAAGCTCCAAGAGCTCTTTCTCACATACATTCTGCAGTAACAGACCTTGTATTTACAAGGATAATGGCATGTGAAACTGCAAAGAAAGCTTGGGATAGATTGAGAGAGGAGTTCATGGGAAGTGATACAACCCGTAACATGCAAGTCATGAACCTGCGCAGGGTGTTTGAAATGCTGAGAATGCAGGAGGTAGAGAAGGTTAAAGAGTATGTAGATAGACTCATGAGTGTGGTGAACAAAATCAGATTATTGGGAGTTGAGATGAGTGATAAGATGATAGTTGAGAAAGTGTTAGTCAGCCTTCCTGAAAGATTTGAGTCCAAGATATCATCCTTAGAAGATTCAAAGGATCTCTCCCAAATCAGCCTCACTGAATTGGTTCATGCCCTGCAGGCCCAAGAACAAAGAAGGTTAATGAGGCAAGATGATTCAAATGAAGGTGCTATGCTGGCTGTTCAAAAGGGAGTGAATATGCAGGGAAGTAATAGAAAATATGCTGGAGATAAGAGAGGAAAAGAGAAGGCTGGTGGTCAGTGGGGAAGGCAGAGTGGAGGAAGAAATTATCCACCATGTTCCCACTACAAAAAGAAGGGACATCCAGACAGTAAGTGCTGGTTCAGGCCTAGGATTCAATGCAGGGGATGCAAGCAGTTCGGCCACATTGAAAAAGTGTGCAGGAACAAGGCTGCACAGCCACCACAGCAAGCATAAAGTACATATGACCAGCAGCAGACTAGTGAACCAGAACAGCTTTTTGTAGCTTCATGCTACTCAATGCAGACCAACAGAGATGTTTGGCTGATAGACAGTGGATGTACTAACCACATGGCAGCAAATGTGGAGAATTTTGTTAGACTGGACAGGACTTACAGCTCCAAGGTTAAGGTTGGAAATGGGGATTATGTGGAAGCAAGAGGAATTGGAGATGTAGCAGTCCAGACTCAGGCAGGGACTAAGGTTATTTCTAATGTTCTATTTGTACCTGAAATTGCACAAAATTTGCTAAGTGTAGGTCAAATGTTAGAGAAAAATTATACCTTGTATTTCCAAACCCATTCTTGCGTTATAAAGGATAGTGAGGGAAATGAGTTGTTGAGTGTAAGGATGCTTGGTAAAAGCTTTCCTCTGGACTGGAAAAACCAAAAAACTCAGCATTAATCACCAAGGTTGAAGAGTCTGAGCTATGGCATAGAAGACTTGGACATTTTCATTACCTTGGAATTAAAGAGCTCAAGCAATGGACGTGGTATTAGACCTGCCCGAGATAGAAGAGAAAAGGACTTATGCACAACCTGCCAGCTGGCAAGCTCAGCAAGCCATCATTCCCTTCGAATCAAGCCTGGAGAGCAAGTCACAAGCTGCAATTGATCCACTCGGATGTGTGTGGTCCAATGAAGATCATCTTTAAATGGCAGCAGGTACTTTGTACTCTTCATGATGATTTCTCAAGGGTGCTTGGGTATTCTTGAAGCAGAAAAATGAAGTGGTTGCGTATTCAAACAATTTAGTTACTGGGGAGAGAAGCTGGAACCTTGATCAAAGCAGTAAGGACAGACAATGAATAGAGTACACATTCAAATGAGTTCAAGACGGTCTGCAGCCTAGCTAGAATACAGCAGCAGTTCAAAGCACCATACACCTCTCAACAGAATGGTGTTTGTGAAAGAAGAAACTGAACCATTATGGAAATGGCTAGGGTATGATGGTTGGAAAAAACCTCCCTAAAATGTTCTGGGAAGAAGCTGTTAATACAGCAGTTTTCCTGCTGAATAGGCTGCCCACCAGGGCAGTCAAACATCAAACACCAATTGAGGCATGGAGTGGAGTCAAGCCCGCAGTAGGGAACCTGAAAGAATTTGGAAGCACAAGCCTATGTGATGATCCCAGCCAGCAAAAGTTCCAAGTTGGATGACAAGGCAGAAATGGGTATTTTATAGGCTAAGCAGCAACTCTAAAGCTATAGAGTTTATGTTCTGAGTCCAAAAGGATTGTAATCACAAGGGACATAAAGGTTGGAATGTGGGTCGGAATTGGAAGAAAAAAAGGGTTTGATGTGCAGGCTGAATCAAGTCAGAATGAGAGGAGTGAGGGACTGATTCAAGAGGCAGATTCAGATGAGGAAGAAGAACATGTTGTAGAGGAACTAGAACTCTGGCTGATGTGTATGACAGGTGCAATATGGCAGTGATGGAACCAAGATGCTACCTGGATGCTGCAAAATCTGAATTGTGGAGGGCTGCAATGCAGGAAGAAACTGAGTATGATTGATAAAAATCAAACTGGAAATTGGTACCAAGACCTAAAAAAAGGAAGTCATTCAGGTTAAATGGATTTTCAAACTGAAATCAACCCTGATGGCTCAATCTAGAAGCAAAAAGCAAGGCTGGTGGTAAAGGGTTTGCACAGCAACCAGGTATTGATTTTTCAGAAACCTTTGCCTCGGTTGCAACTAGGGGGCTCGGAAGAGAGAGTTGTGGATGAGCCGGAGGTATCGGTGGATACTGCCCGTAATACCGGATATTAGTGCGACGGGAAAAAAAACAGTATGCATGAGAAGCCGTCCATTCCCGAAATCTACCCTAGCATGGGGCACTTCCAAGGGCATTTCCTTGAAGCAAAAAGCGAAGCGTATCATTCCCCGAACTCAGCCGGGGACGGCTTTGAAGCGATCGAGAGACCAGATTCTGTAGTGGTAAACGTGCATCACATTCCAGAAAAAGGGATTTCTCTTCGAACTTTGACCGGATGTAGTCGGATCCAACTTCTCCTTTTGTTGGTTTCTCTGAACAAGATGCCAATTCTGATTCCTCTTCGGACTTCCCCTTTGGGATAGTAATTGTTTTCCCTACTTCCTTGAATCAAAGAATAAAGCAACCCAATTGCGTGTTGGCACTTGCAGCCTAGTTCAACCGGAAAATTTTCCAGCTGGATGTCAAGTCAGCATCCTGAATGGATGGATTTCAGAGGAGCTGTATGTAGAGCAACCCGAAGGCTACAAGGTTGAGGGAAAGGAGGACTATGTGTACCTACTGAGGAAGGCCTTGTATGGCTTGAAGCAGGCCCCTAGAGCCTGGTACAACCGAATAAATGACCATTTGTGCAGCCTTGGATACACTAGAAGTCTAATGAACACACTCTCTACATTAGGAAAACTGAGAAAGGAGTGGCTGTGGTTTCCCTCTATGTCGATGACTTGTTGGTAACAGGGAGTATCCTGGTGATGGACCAGTTCAAGTTGGATATGCAAGCTGAATTTGAAATGACGGATTTGGGATTGATGAAGTACTTTCTTGGCATGGAGATAACTCAGGCACTGGTGAGATTGTGTGTGTCAACAAAGGTATGCAACCGAGCTTCTCTTAAGGTTTGGAATGGAGAATTGCAAACAGTGAATACTCCTCTAGTTCCCAACCTGAAATTAAGCAAAACAGATGGTGCAGAGAGGGTTGATGAAGGGAAATACAGAAGCTTAGTGGGAAGTCTGTTGTATTATACAGCCACCAGACCTGACATTATGTTCACAGCAAGTTATCTCTCAAGGTTTATGAGCAACCAAGTGAATTGCACCTTAAGGTTGCAAAACGTGTGCTGAGTATGTAAAGGCAACCATCATGTTAGGCATTGTTTAAGAAGGCTGAAAGTCTGAAATTGTTGGGGTACACTGACAGTGATTGGGCTGGATCCCGGATGATGCAAGAGCACCTCTGGTTATGTGTTTTATCTAATAAGGGTGCAATCAGTTGGCTATCAAGGAAGCAAGAGATTGTGGCATAGTTACTACTGAAGCTGAATATGTCTCTGCTGCAGCAGCAGTGAACCAGGCTGTGTGGCTGAGGAAAATGTTGGATGACTTGCACCAAGTGCAAGAAAGTCCTACGCTGATCCTATGTGATAACCAGTCAGCTGTTGCAATGGCAAAGAATCCTGTACTCCACGGCAGAACTAAGCATATTAAGATAAGTATCATGCTGTAGGGAAGCGAACAGAGTGGGGAAGTAACCTTAATGCACTGAAGGGGGAAGATCAGGTTGCTGACAAAATGACAAAGGCATTGTGCAAATCCAAGTTTGAAGCCTTTAGGCTAAAACTTGGTGTTTCCAGCCAAAGCACCAAGTGGAGTGTTGAAGATTGGTGCTGTGCTGGAAGTAAGATTTGCTGTAAGTTGAAGCTGTTTGCTGCTGTGGATGGACGTGCATGGTGCTGTTCTGAAGTTCAGTAACTTAAGTCCTTCTGTATATTTTAGTGTTAATTTGAATTAGTTGACTCAGCTTATTGTAATGAAGTTGTTTGAAGTTGTTAGAAGTGAGTGGTTTAGCTGAGATTAAGTGAAAGTTCGACAGTAGTTGGAACATTGAACAACAGCATGTTATATTCAGTTTTCTGTCAATGAAAAGTAGTCCAGTTTTTATTCATTCTCTCTCTTTCTTTGGACAACCGGCATTTACAAAACACTAACAGTAGCAACTTTAAATGGACACTTCTTGCAAGAAATAAATACCAAAGCTGCAAAGAAAAAAACAGTGGAAGCTTGGAGGGAGACAAGAAGGTTGTTCCTAAATGTGCAGAAACTTTACACAGCTCTCTTCAGTATGTTAAGCGAAAACTGGCAGCAGCCTTGTACCAGGCACTTGTTGCAAAACCGCAAGAAAACAGCTATGGGAGCCTTGTAGAAAAAAGCAAAGGAAGCCCAGGAGCTGGAGAAAGGAAGATGGATCTTAAACTGCAAGAACTTTAGGCAGCTTGGTTCGCGATGCTAAAGCAAAAACTGGTAGCAGTCTCGTGACCAGGTCACGTATGCAAAAACAGCACGAAAGCAGCTATGGAATCCCTGCAGAAAAAAGCGAAGGAAGTCCTGGAGTTGGAGACAAGATGATAGATTCTAAACTGCCGGGAAACTTTTGGAAGCTCTCTTCAGGAGCTAAAACAAAAACTGCTAGCAGCCTTATACCAGGTCACTTGTTGCAAAACACCAAGAGCACAGCTATGGGAGCCCTGGAAATGGAGAAAGGAAGTGGACTCAAAACTGCCGAGCTTCAGGTTGCTCTGTTCAGGATGCTAAAGCAAAAACTGGTAGCAGCCTTTTACCAGGTCACTTGTTGCAAATCAAGCAAGAGATCAGCTGTGGAAGCCCTAGAGTTGAAGAGAAGAAGGTGGATCTAAACTGCTGCATGCTTCAGGCAGCTCTATCAGGATGCTATATCAAAAACTGTCAGCAGCTTCAGACCAGAATTACAACATAGGAAAAGAAATAGTTATGGAAGCCCTGGAGTTGAGAGAAGAATCTGGAATTTAAACTGCCTGAAGATTTACGCAGTCTGATCAGAGTGCTAAAGCGAAAACGTTAGCACCGTTAAACCAGGTAACTGTTGCAAAACAAGCGAGGAGCCAGCAGCCCACAACAGTGGTTCACAAGTCTCCACCAAAAGGAGATGTCAAGCAAGAAGCATCAACAAAAATGGCAAGTTTAAGGATCCCAAGCCCCAAAATTTAACCATTAGTGGATTTGAACCTTCATCAGAAGAGCAGCTAAAAGCAGGACTATGGCTAGAATGAGAAACAAAAGGATATTGTTAAGCAATCAAACTTCAAAACCAAAGGTAATATTCTTAGACACCAGCCCTCAAAAGACAACAAGGAGTATGTTTTGACTACATCGTTAGAGCAGCAAAAGGGGTGTGCAAAAAAGAAATAGCAATGAAAACAAATGAACACAAGACCAAGCCCCCCAATGATTACAAACTCAAGCAGCCATGGACAAGGAGGACAATCCCTATCAAAGGGACAACAAAAGAGTAAGAGTGTTTCAAGTCAAGAGGGCGGTCAAAAAAAATTGATAAAAATACAGGTCCAAGTCATGCAGCCAGCTCCGATATCCATCAAAAGAGCAGCAAAATGGAGTTTACAAGCAAGATAGCGGTAGTGATTTGAGTCCAAATTGATCAAACCTAAAACTAATCAATATTAAAGCAAGAAACAATCACACACACAAAAACAATCTTTTACCGTGGTTCACCTATCCAATGTTGGATAGACTACATCCACGTTGAACTCCGAAATAAGGAGACTCACTGCACTAGGATTATCAACAAAGTTACAAGAAACTACAATCTTGATCTGCTATTCACACAGAGATGCAAACCCAGGCTTAATCACTCTAACCCTTTTACTCTGTAAAATCCTAGACTCTAGAGAACTACTCTAGCCCTTGAAGGAAACGCAACCTTCACCCAAATTCTGTCCAGATTTACAGAGAGATTCCCTAAAGTGAATAAACCCCTAACCCAAGAGATATCTGCTCAATCGAAAAAATACAAGAGAGAAAAAGACCTTGAACTGTTCTGTTGAATGTGACACCATGCTGGAAATGATAAAGTTGACAAAATTTAAACTGCATGTTTTGCCGCCGGTTGGACTCCCACTGTTCATGCAGAAGCAGTTTTTGGTCACTGTTTTAGGAATGATTAAGTGATGTGTTTAGGTGTATTAGGTTTGATTAAATGTAATATTTTCTCCTGCCTATACGTTTATTAGTTGAAGTATTGTGTTTAAATTTCAAATGTGTAAAACCATTAGGTGGAACAGTGGCGGGTGCTTGTATAAATCTATCCCTGTTTTTTGAATCATAAACAGAGCATTATTTTCCAGTATCGGTTCTCTTTCTTTCATCTGTTTCTCTTCTTTGTTTTCATGCAAAACCAACTTGTTCTGCAGTCTCCCTTTCTTTTATACCGTTCACCAGCAAAATAATGAGAGCCGCATGATCTGACTTGTATCCACGTCCAGGATTAAGTGAACCAATGGCAGCGTTCTGTTCCAGAAAAAACGGCACCGTAGGCTTCACAATTTTTCAATAGCAGCCATGAAATCCGTAAGTACACAAAGGCCAGATCCTACTAAACTTACTAGTAGTGGCTCTGGACAAAACGAAATTCACAAGCTGGAAGACATCAACACAAAAGATAAGTTTAGCTTCTAAAAGTCATTTGTACATGAAGATTTATTTTAGTCTTTCTTTTATTCTTTTCATTTGTAGATGGCTCGGGTTCCTCAGGAATAGCTTTATTCATTCAAAAAGTGTATTGTTTAACTGCCTTCCCTTATCAAGAATCAATCTTAGAGCATCTCCAATGGTGCTTTTTATCTTGAAAAGCATCTTTTATATAAATAATTTGGACAATAGATCACCATCTGTTCACAATCAGCGGTACAATTAACCGTTACAACTTTTGGTTTCTTGATTTCCATTAGCTGAAGTTCCTTGATAAGAAGTTAAATCAACAAATTGACTTCAGAACTGACTTCTTATCCGAGTATATAATAATGCTTAAAGCTTACAAAATCCTTCAAAATTCAAGTAAATCTAAGATCAGGAGCGATTTCGAATTTCCTTCTAATTTCTCATTAATGCAACTCCTTTAAGACCTTTTTGCAAGCTTTGGATTGTTTGTGTAACTTTTATAAAGTATGGAATACAATTCAAAAAAGGTTCTTATCCTTCCTTATCAGTGTATGAAATTGTTTTTGCTTCTGGGTAAATCAAACTGATGCTTCAGCTTTATCCCTTCCAGATGCCGATTTAATAGTACAGAATCATACACCTGATTGTATGTGGTTCATGTGATTTCAACAATAATCTCATCAAATCACAGCAAAAATTAAAAAAATAAAGCATTCCAGAAAAGTTTTCTGCATAAATATTTCTGCAATACACAGGAATTCTTAGTACAGAAAACACCAATCCTAGAAGTAGCAATGGATAAACTTGCCAGTGCTCTAAGTCTCATAGATTGATATTATTCACTGCTCTTTCTCTAGCTTTGTTACTAAGGCAAAAAGTTTTCGACACAGAAACTCAAAGTGCAGATACAAATGTTAAATATTTACTTCATGTTTCAAAAAATTTCTCAAATTCTTTTCTATACTAAAGGTACAAGTTCTTTCCATTATTATTCTTAATTTGATGATTCTTGTTATTGCAATTACAGATATTTAGAATCTTATCCCTCGATGAATATATTAATTATATTTCTGATAATGCATCTGAATATATCCCTTTTGGGTTTCTGTTCCTTGCTTGTCCCGTCTCCATCAGTTTACTTTCAAGGATCATATGCAATTAAGCAATTTTTAATGGAAGAATCTTGGAAACTTGACAACGCAGCACACACTAAAAAATTGTCTTGGAGTAAATTCAAGCAAAAATATTCTCAGGTAAAGTTCCCTTGAGATCATTGAGTTTCTACAGGGTTTCTTAATTGTTATAGACAAGGGAAATTGCGGAGCCAACTGAGCTAAAACTCATCATTTCTCAAATTATGGCCAGTAGAATGCTACGTAAAGATTCTCCTCCAGAGCCTTCTCCTGCAGACGAACAAACTACAGAAATACCTCCTACTAAGCGGAATTGCTGGCAAAGGCTTCGTGAAAAGGTTTGTGGCAAAAAAAGTTCTCAGGTTCAAGTTGCGAATGGAGAAAATACAACATCTTCAGGAACTGCAGCGCCTGGTCATAAAAAACAAGAAAAGATTATCAATGGACAACCAGAAAGCAGGTACAGAGTCCCTGAAGAAAAAAGCAGTGAAAGCCATGGAGTTGGAGACAAGAAGGTAGATTCTAAACAGCCGGAAGCTTTAGGTAGCACTATTCAGGATGCTAAAGCGAAAAATGGTAGCACCCTTATACCAAGTCACATATTGCAAAACAAGCAAGAAAGCAGCTACAGAGTCCCTGAAGAAAAAAGCAGTGGAAGCCATGGAGTTGGAGACAAGAAGGTAGATTCTAAACAGCCGGAAGCTTTAGGCAGCACTATTCAGGATGCTAAAGCGAAAAATGGTAGCAGCCTCATACCAGATCACATATTGCAACACAAGCAAGAAAGTAGCTATAGAATCCCTGCAGAAAAAAGCAGTGGAAGCAATGGAGTTGGTGACAGGAAGATGGATTCTAAACAGCCGGAAGCTTTAGGCATCTCTGTACAAGATGCTAAAACAAAACCTGTTAGCAGCCTTGTACCGGGTCACTTATTGCCAAACAAGCAAGAAATCAGCTATGCATCCCCTGGAGAGAAAAGCAAAGGAAGCCCTGGAGCTGGAGACCGGAAGATGGATTCTAATCTGCCAGAAACTATAGGCAGCTATGTCCAGGATGCTAAAGCAAAAACTGGTAGCAGCCTTGTACCAGGTCACTTGTTTCAAAACAAGCAAGAAAATAGCTATGCAAGCCCTGCAGAGAAAAGCAAAGAAAGTCCTGGATCTGAAAACAGGAAGAAGGATTCTAAACTGCCAGAAACAGGCAGCTCGGTTCAGGATGCTAAAGCGAAAACTGGTAGCAGCCATATACCAGGTCACTTGTTGCAAAACAATCAAGAAAATGGCTATGGAAGCCCTGGAATTGGAAACAAGCAGGTGTACTCTGAACTGCCAGACGCTTCAGGCAGCTCTCATCAGGATGCTAAATCAAAAACTGTCACCAGCCTTAAACCTGAACTGCAAAACAAGAAAGAAAACAGCTATGGAAGACCTGGAGTTGGAGAGAAGAAAATGGACCCTAAACTGCCAGAAGATTTACGCATCTCTGATCAGAATGCTAAGGCGAAAACTGTTAGCACCATTAAACCAGATCACCTGTTGCAGAACAAGCAAGGAACCAGCAGCCCTGAACAATTGGTTCACAATGCCCCACCAAGAGGAGATGTCAAGCAAGAAGACATCAATAAAAATGGCAAGTTTAAGGATCCCAAGCCCCAGAAGTTAACCATTAGTGGCTTCGAACATTCATCGGAAGAGCAGGGAAAAGCAAATCTACCGGCTAGGAATGAGAAACAAAAGGATATTGTTAAGCATCCAAGCTACAAAAACGTAGATAATATGACAACAAAGAGTATCGTTGCGCCTACATCATCAGAGCAGCAAAAGGGTTTTTCCAACCAAGAAAATAACTATGAAAACCAAACAAATACAAGAGCAAGCTCTCCAATGCTCACACATTTTAGCAGCCCCGGACAAGGAGCACAATACCTGTCAAAGGAACAACAAAAGAGTTATGTAGCCAGCTCCGGATACCCATCAAAAGAGCAGCAAAAATGAGTTTACAAACAAGATAGCAGCTATGAAATGCATCAGGACACAAAGGCCAGATCCTATTAGAATTACAAGTAATGGCTCCGGACAAAAGGGAATTCCCAAGCAGGAAGACATGAACACAAAAGATAAGTTTAGTTTCTAAAAGTCCTTTGTACATGAAGATTAATATCTTTCTCTCTTTCTTCTATTCTTTTCGTTTGTGAATGGCTTTGTTCATTTATCGGTATATTGTTAGTATTGACAGGATTACATTGACTTATATTTATGATATCAATTTGGACACCAGATCACTATTTCATTTCATATGCATCTTTTATTTTCCGAACAGAGAAATGTATTTGGATTGTACTGCAAGCAATCTCATAATCATTTGCATGCTCTTTATATATGTTTTCTGCCATATGATCTTGTTGAAGTTAGTCTCCTTTCTTAGCCAACCAAGTCTCTAGTCAGTGAATTTTCATTACTATTCAATGAGAGACTTTAACTGTTTCAACAATATCTCTTTTGATTTCTTTGTTTTCTAAAGCTGAATGTAATAATCAGATTTGTCTCTTCCCCAGCCCTTTTTACTGGCATGTGACATGTAATGTAGAAAGTTTTTGATACAACCACCTGCAGATTTAAATCAAACAACTCCCAACCAGTAATAATTCTCACACAATTCAGTCGACACACAATCAATCACAACTCAAGACACAAATGAATCCCTTGCACTACTTTTATTAAACAGAAGAAATGGATGAAAATAGAACAGATGAGCATTAGAAATATCCTAACACCCTGGCATTTCGAGAAGCCAGGAGCCTCCACTGTTTTATCAACCCAAAATCAAAAGTGTCTTTGCACTACAACTCTCCCTGAATATATACTAATTCCCTTTTTCCACAATTACCCTTACTCACACAATTTGTATTCTCCAAAACCGAATCCACCCCCAATGACACCTGTACTTTGTGGTCCCTCTGCCTTAACAACCTTTCTAATGCTTTTTACGCCCTTTAAGGGTGTAGACTTTATGCACTGTCGGCTTATCAATACCCCCTCCTTGAAGATTCACCTTGTCCTCAAGGTGAAATTGTGGGAACTGTAATCGGATCACTTCATATGGTTCCCAGGTTGCTTCAAAATCAGGTAAATGCTGCCATCTGATGAGAACCTCTTTAGGACCCCAGACAGGACGCCACAAGAACAGTATGGTTGGACCATTAATTCCATATCTTCAGAGAGTGGTCAGGAAGGGGTTGGATGGGTACCGACTGATGTAAGCTCCTCTTGAGCTGAGAAATATGGAATACAGGATGAATGCGGGTGTGGCAGGCAGATCCAATTTATAAGCCACTGGTCCTATGCGTTCCAGAACAGGGTAAGGAGAGTAGAAACGGGGGCTGAGTTTCTCGTTCATTTTTCGGGCAAGAGACTTAAACTGTAGGGCTGAAGCTTCAAGAAAACTGAGTCACCAGGCTGGACACAATCATCTCGCCGGTGAAGATCAGCATTGTTTTCATGCGAGTTTGAGCGCCACTAAATTGTCCTTAGTTCTCCCAATATGGCATTACGTTCTGTCAGTTGGACATTGATATCTTCCACACGGATGGACAGTCTGTGAAATTTAAAAGGGTGGGAGGATCTCGTCATAGAGGGCTTTGAAAGGCGTCATTGGATGGACCCGTGGTAGGTTGTATTGTACCAATATTCTGCCCAGGTAAGCCAGTTAGGCCACTGACGGGGGGCTGAGCACTACAGAAACAGCGAAGATACGCTTCGAGGCACCTATTGACCCCCTCCGTTTGCCCATCGGTCTGCGGATGGTAAGCCGAACTAAATTTCAGAACAGTACCGACAGCCTTGAACAACTCTTGCCAAAAGACTCATAAAGAGTTTATCTCTGTAGAAACAATGGAATTGGGAAAAACCGTGTAGACGGACCACTTCTTAACAAATATGGGGCGACATCCTTTGCATTGTATGGGTGGCCGAGACTAAAGAAGGGGCTGTACTTGGTTAGACGGTCAACGATAACAAAGATGGTATCCACACCCTTTGAACGTGGTAGTCCCCCTATAAAGTCATAGAGATATCCTCAAACACCTGTTCTGGAATGGGAAGAGGCTGGAGGAGTCCGGCAGGTTTTAACGACGACTGCTTATTCAGTGACAGGGGGTACAGGTTTTAAGAAGCTTTGTATATACCCGAATACCCTCCCAGTAAACTACTGAGATACTCTTTTGTAGGTTCGGAAGAAACCCGAGGGACCTCCAATAGGACTCTGATGGAATTCGTTCGTAAACTGGAAACAAATCGGACCCTTTTGGAATAACTAGCCTGTCCTTATAGAATAGGCAGCCTTTGTTGATTCGATAGTTGGGTGGCTAGAAGAGTCAAGGAGAAGATCCTGAATGATTTCCCTGAGTTTCGGATCTGCTTGTGCTTCCATGGCCATCTCCTCAAATCAGAAAACTGTACCGTAGATAAGGCTGAAAGGTGTGCCACTTCCGTTCCCATCTTCTCTTTGGAAAGAGGCATCTTGCTACTCGGTTGGAAGCCCCTGGGTAGTACGAATGTCAAAGGTAAAACCCATAACTTGGAGATCCATTTGTGTTGTTGGCAGTTTTTGATCGTTGATCGTTAAAAAACTGGAGGCTGCGTGATCAGTTTTGATAAGGAATTTTCTGCCCAACAGATAGTGACTCCATTTCCTAACTGCAAAAACAATGGCCATCAAATTACGCTCGTAAACCGATTTCAACTTAGCTGTAGGGGAGAATGCCTTGCTGAGAAAGCTATCGAGCGAGACTGCTGTACCAAAACAGCCCCGAGACCTCCTGATGCACTGTCTGAATTTCAAAGGGGCGTGTGAAATCTGGAACTGCTAAAATAGGGATGGTAGTCATGGCTTCCTGAGTCTATCAAAAGCTGATTGAGCTGAATCATTCCAAGTGAAAAAGTCCTTCTTTAACAACTGAGTAAGGGGTGAGCAATTGACCCATAAACCCTTTACGAACCTCTGATAATAACCTGTCAGCCCAAGGAAACCTCTCAATCCCTTCACATTTACGGTCGCGGCCAGGATACCATGGCTTCAATCTTTTCGGATCTGCCTTAACGTTTCCGAGACTAGGTGACCCAAATATTCCAGCTTAGATTGGCCAAAGGAGCACTTTTTCTGTTACCACCAGATTGTGTTCCTGCAAAATCTGAAAGGTGACTTGTAAGTGCGAATGTGTGTGGTTAGGCAGGGGCTATACACAAGGATATCATCAAAGAAGACCAGGATAAATTTACGGAGAAACTGGCTTAAATACTGAGTTCATTAAGGCTTGAAATGTGGAGGGTGCATTAGTGAGGCCAAAAGGGAGAACTGGCTTAAATACTGAGTTCATTAAGGCTTGAAATGTGGAGGGTGCATTAGTGAGGCCAAAAGGCATCACAAGGAACTCGTAATGCCCCTCATGTGTGCGAAAGGCTGTTTTGGGAACATCAACCTCTCGCACCGAATTTGATGATACCCTGACTTTAGGTCCAGTTTAGTGAAAATGGTGCCCCGGATAATTCATCAAGTTTCTTCAATGGTAGGTATTGGGAATTTGTCGGGTATGGTAATATCGTTTAATGCCCTGAATCCACACAGAATCGCCAACTTCCATCCTTCTTTTGACCAATAGAACAGGGCTGGCATATGGGCTGACGTAGGTGGATAATCCCTGCAGACAACATTTCCCCAACCAACCTCTCGATTTCATTCTTTGAAATACGGGTATTTGTAGGGTCGGATATTGGGTGGTTTGGAACCTGGGTGAAGTTCTATGGCATGGTCATGGGTCTACGGGGTGGTAATTTAGGATCTGGTCAAACAATTGTGGGTACCTGTCTATTAATTCGATTACCGGGTCAGTTTCCTCCTGTATTGGCTCTCCTTCAATCCTATGGACCCAAATTCCACCACATACCCATTTCTGGCAGACGGAGAGTCCTAACCATAGTCTTCAGTGATACCTCGTCTTTACCAGTAGGGGATCCCCTCTCAATTTCACCTTTCCCTTCCCAGTCAAACTCTATAGTTAATTCTTGCCAATTGGCACTCACATCCCCCAAGCTACTCAGCCATGTAACCCCTAAAACCACGTCTGCCCCTTAATTCAAAAGGAAAAACTCTTGCTGTATTTCAATTCCCTGTAGTTTCAACCTCACTGCCTTACAAATTCCCTTTCCCCGAATGGTAATCCATCCCAACCATTACTCCAAAAGGCTTCCTTATCCACCTTCAGCCCTAACTTTTGTACGACCCCATGGGACACAAAATTGTGGGAAGCCCCACTATCCACCAAAACACACCCCTTTCATTCCCAATCTCCCCTGTAATTTCAAGGTTTTTCCCGAAGAAATACCCACAATGGAGTTCATCGAAAGGGCTAGAGATTTACCTTCACCGTGGGTTTCTTCGTCAGTTTCTGTTCCATTCTCCGGTGGGTGGGTGCGTCGTGTATCCAGGAGTAAAAACACCTGCAGAGACTTGTTTTTACATCGGTGGGTTTGGTCCATACTTCTCGTCGCAGCGGTAACAGAGCCCACGCTCTCGCTTATACTACATATCAGCATCAGAAAGCCGCCAAAAATTATCAGATCGGTTGACGGACCCCACAGACTCAGTGACTTCTCTTTTTGTTCGGTGGTTTTGTTGAAGTTTGACGTTAACGATGAAGGATCTGGTGGTCTTGCACTGAAGGTCGACCAATTTGTTCTTGGGAGTTCCGGGTTTGGGCGACCCGTGAATAAGGCTCCCCAGACCATTATGTTTCTAAATGGCTTGGGCCTTTGTTTATCCAATATCCAATTCCTCTCCTCAATCCTGTGGGCTTGATCCATCAGCCAAAAAAGTATTTGGCTGAGACAAACGAAGCTCAGCTTTTATATCTTCTTTTAAGCCATTCGCGAAAATTCCCTAAGCATTTCATCACCCGGTCTTTCAATGGTGCTGCACTAGATTCGAATTGTTCCATCTAGCGGTAAATGTCCCTTGTTTCAAGGCCACTAAAGCCCATATGCTGATCCTTTAAAAGATGGTCGAAAACGGTCGATCAAGGCTATTTTGAAGGTTTCCCCCAGACTGAAAAGGTGTTCTGGATTCGACCCATTGATACCAGCTTAAAGCTCTTCCCCCATGCAAACTGCTGCTGCTTCCACCATTTCTGTCTCTTGGAAATGATTGATGGTGAAGTAGCGATCGCCCTGAAGGACCATCCAAATGGATCTCCATAAAGATGGGTAACTCCAGCTTCCAGTTGTTTCTTTTTGTCTTTCCCACTGTCTTCACGTTTGAACCTTATCTCTACTAGCACTCGGCTCTGCCGATAAAGAAGTTTTCTCGTTCTTGTTCTCTTCTTCCTTCCCTCTCTTCTCTCATGCGCATTAACTCCCCCATTTCTGTCAAATATTCTTTCACATACCCATGTCAATTTTCAAGGATCCTTGTCTTCCTTTACTGTATTCATCTCCTTCTCCACATATCCTCCTAGTTTCCATTTTGGATTTAACCATTCCCCAACTTGGCTTTGATACCAATTGATACAACCACTGCAGATTTAAATCAAACAACTCCCAACCAGTAATATTCTCACACATCAATCACAACTCAAGACACAAATGAATCCTGCACTACTTTTATTAAACAGAAGAAATGGATGAAAATAGAACAGATGAGCATTAGAAATATCTAACACCCTGGCATTGAGGAGCCAGGAGCTCCAGTTTTATCAACCCAAAATCAAAAGTGTTTTGCACTACAACTCTCCTGAATATATACTAATTTCCTTTTCACAATAACCTTACTCACAATTTGTATTCTCCAAAACCGAATCCACCCCCAATGACACCTGTACTTTGTGGTCCCTCTGCCTTAAAAACCTTTCTAATGCTTTTTACGCCCTTAAGGGTGTAGAATTTATGCACTGCGGTTATCAGTTTTCTATACCTTTTATGCAAGCAATTGATAATCGGATTTGTCTTTCCCTAGCCCTTTTATGCAAGCAATGCATCAAAAGATAGATCTTGACTAGAGCAGGAAAGGAAAGAAAAAAAACAAAAAAAAAAAAAATCCTGCTTGAGATGGGTGAAATGACATCAAAGCATCAATGAGGCTCCTTGTAACTCTTTACTTAGTATAGTTTAACTTTAGTTACAAGAACTTACTAAGTTACGAGAAAAGAACAAAGATACAAATCAATAAAGTACAGAGAATTTTCCTTTTCCTATGAGGAAATCAAACTGATAACATCTGCTTTACTGATTTATAAGGATATTATGTTAAAGTATGCTGCACCAAATTTGGCTTAAATATGTGTGGACAGAATAATGAAGAAATATTTTTCTTCTGGGTAAATAAGAGAAAACTTTGTGTAGACCAATCCTAAAATATGTCTCATCTTAAGGTCATTTGCAAAGAAATTAAGCAATTTTAGAAGAATCTTGAAACTTGACAACACAGCAAACACAAACCAATTGTTTTGGACTAAATCCAAGCAAAAATTTCTTTCAGGTAAAGTTCATTGAGATTATTTTGTGCAGTGTTTCCTTATTTTAAGACAAGAGAATTCTTATTGATCGCAGATTCCAAACTGTGCACATGCGCACCATTTCTGAAACTATGGCTGCTAAAAAGCATAGTCAAGAACCTCCTTCGAACAATTAGTCGATCAGTGAAACTAAGGAAACTCAAAAGCTTCGACCTTATCCTGCAGACATTCAGCCTATCATTGAAACTGAGGTGACTCAAAAGTTTCAACCAGATCCTTCTCCTTCAGACATTCAGCCGATCATTGAAACTAAGGCAACCGAAAAGCTTCAACCAGATTCTCTTCCTGCAGACATTCAGCCGATCGTTGAAACTAATGCAACCGAAAAGCTTCAACCAGATCCTCCTCCTGCAGACATTCAGCCTATCACTGAAACTAAGGCAACTTAAAATATGGCTTCTACTAATTTTTGTCCTGCTCCGGTAGACAGTCAATCAACAACAGTGAAAAATTCTCAAGATATGGCTCCTAATAATTTTCTTTCTCCTCCGGTTCCTGAGCGAAATTGCTGGCAAAGGCTTCTTCAAAGGATTGCTCAGGTTCAAGCTGAGAATGGAGAAAATACCAGATACAAAGGAACTGCTTCTCCAGGTTATAAACAACAAGAAGATGGTGCAGCAAAAGATAAAGCCAACGAAATTACAGGACAAAATCCAGACGCCAACAAAGAAATGAAACTTAAGATTAGCAATGTACAGCCAGAAAAGAGCAATGGAAATCACGGATTTGGAGAAATCCTGAAGGTTTGGGCAGCTTTGATCAGGTTAATATAGCAAAACCTGTTAGCAGCCTTAAACCACTTAACTTGTTGCAGAACAAGCAAGAAAACGGCTCAACAAGCCCTGCAGGAAAAAGCAAAGAAAGCCCCGGAATTGGAGAAAAGAAAATGGATTCAAGTCTGCGGAATGCATTGGGCAGCTCTTATCTGGATGTTAATATGAAACCTATTGGCAAACCAGATCACTTATTGCAAAACAAGGAAGAAAAATTCTATGGAATCTCTAAAGGAAAGAGCAGTGCAAATCCTGGAGTTGGAGACAAGAAAATGGATCCCAAACTCTCGGAAACTTTCAGCAATGCTGTTCAGGATCCTGCAGTGAAAACTGGTAAAAGCGTTAAACCGGATCATTTGTTGCGAAACAAGCAAGAAAACAGCTACCAAAGCTCTGCAGAGAAAAGCAGTGGAAGCCAAGGAGCTGGAGACAAGAAGGTGGATCGTAAACTGCCGGAAGCTTCAGCCAGCACCATTCAGGAGGTTAAAGCAAAAACTAGTGGCAGCCTTATACCAGGTCAAACATCGCAAAACAATCAAGAAAGCAGCTACAGAGTCCCTACAGAAAAAAGCAGTGGAAGCCCTGGAGCTGGAGACAAGAAGGTGGATCCTAAAATGCCGGGAACTTTAGGCAGAACTATTCAGGATGCTAAAGCGAAAACTGATAACAGCTTTGTACCAGGTCACTTATTTCCAAACAAGCAAGAAATCAGCTATGCAAGCCCTGCAGAAAAAGCAAAGGAAGCTCTGGAGCTGGAGAAAGGAAGATGGATCCTAAACTGTCGGAAACTTTAGGCAGCTCTGTTCTGGATGCTAGAGCGAAAACTGGTAGCAGCTTTTTACCTGGTCACATATTGCAAAACAAGCTAGAAAGCAGCTGTGGAATCCCTGCAGAAAAAAGCAGTGGAAGGCTTGGAGTTGGAGACAGGAAGGTAGATTCTAAGCAGCCAGAAGCTTTGGGCAGCTCCGATCAGGATGCTAAAACAAAAGCAGTTGGCAACAATAAACCAGGTCACTTATGGCCACACAAGCAGGAAACAGCTATGTGAACCCTGTAAAGAAAAGCAAAGGAAGCCCTGAAGCTGAAGACAGGAAGACGGATTTTAAACTGCCAGAAACTTTAGGTAGTTCCGTTCAGGATGCTAATGCGAAAACTGGTAATAGCCATGTACCAGGTCACTTGATGCAAAACAAGCAAGAGAACTGCTACGGAAGCCCTGGAACTGGAGACAAGAAGCTATGAAATCCACAATTGTCCAAGTTAATAGCTGGAATTGCATCAATAAAAATGATAAATACACTGCCCCTAGTTATGCAGCCAGCTCTGGATATGCATCAAAAGAGCAGCATAGCAGCTATGAAATCCACAGACACAAGGCCAGATCCTACTAAAATTACAATTAATTGCTCCGGACAAAAGGGAATTTGCAAGCAGGAAGGCATCAATATAAAAGGTAAGTTTAGTTTCTAAAATTCCTTTGTACATGAAGATTAATATATTTCTTTCTTTCTTCTATTCTTTTCATTTGTGAATGGCTCTGAAGCTGTGTTCATTTAACTGTATATTGTTTTAAGTATTGACAGTATTACATTGACTTATATTAAAGATAATTTTTAGGACAATAGATCACTATTTCATTCCATATGCATATTTTATTTTCCGAGACAGAGAAATGGATATAGATTGTAGTACAAGCAATCTCTTAATCATTTGCATGCTGTTTCAACATTTTCTCTGCCTTTAAATGATATTTTTTTTTTTTAATTTTCTCTCATCTCTTAGCTAAAAAAGCTCAAATCAGTGAATATGCATTACCATTCAATGAAACAATTTTTAACTATTTCACCAACACGGCTATCGATTTCTTGGTTTTCAGAAGCTGAAGCAAATTTCAAGAGCATGAAGTTACCTATTATGCAAGTAATTGATCATATGCTACTAGCTAGAATTGTTATTAAATGCAAATACAGATCCAAATATTAAAATTCTTTTCTGATATGAGCTTTATATTACCTAGATTATGCCAAAAAAAACTTAACCGGGATAGATGTATTACGTCATCCGTACATCTGTCTAATAAAAACATGTCTCATATATTTTTATATTTTTTATTTTATCAGTAACCACCACCATGATTGTTGGTTTTTTTTAAATCTATGCCTTCCTGGTAAAGTTTTAGTGAATGGCATACCGATGATACAATGTACTTGTTCTATCTAAGACTCTCAATAAGGAAATACAAGTTTATGAATCGTGATTGGTGGTTATGAAAGAGGAATACATCGACAGAATAGATCTTGACTAGACATGACCAATGATGTATATGTTTTACAACATCATCAGGAAAGCTCAAAGCAGGAAAAAATAAAAATAAAAATTTCTGCTTGAGAGAGAATGAACTGACATCAAAGCATCTATGAGGCTCCTTGTAACTCTGCACTTAGTTATAGTATAAGCTACTAAGTTATGAAAAAAGTACAAGGATAACAATTCAATAAAATACAGAGAATTTTTCCTTTTCTTATGAGGAAAACAAACTAACTACATTTCTGCTNTACAAGGTAACTTTGTTTCCAGTTAAATTATTATATGCCTGTGCTTGAAAGTTTAATTTCATCTTAGCATGGATCTGACTTGCATAGATATACTATTTTCTTACACAATTACCTTTTAATAACAGAAGAGATTTCTGTGATCTTATGAAGGTGAGTATCCTCAAAAGCACATATGTACAAGTTCTTGGATTCCTTGTGTTGTCTTCTCTGTATCCAAGCTACTATGATTAAAGCAGATATTTTGTTTTCAATTTTTTTTTTTTTTTTTTCTTGTTCAATACCAGAGATTAGATAATTTGATAAACTATTTCTTTGTATACTTCGCATATCCACATATTGTCTGGATGAACATTAATGTTGTACTTTATACATGATCTGAGATATGGTATGAAAATTTGCTCCTTTCAGAACTAGTTTATGGCTTGAAGAAAAACAAATTTACTGCTACAGAAAGCAATGATATCTCTTCCTTTTTAGAGCGAGCTCTTATACGCCTTGAAAGATGGTTCCATTGGTTCAACACTACTCAGTCAGGTAAGTCTGGGTTTCTATTCAATCTTCCATGCAATACATATGATTGTAGTTTCAGTGTGTTTCTAGCTCTAAAGGTTACCTGCATTGTTCGATATCGAGTTACAAGTTATTGATATTTTAGTATTTATTAATCTCAAAGGAATTTTTCTGGTAGAATACTGGTATAGGATTTGTGTAAACCTTAAAAAGGGCTTGGGCTTAAGACTTTATTGAGTTTTTGACTGTCATCATGGTTAGAGGTTCTTTGAGGTGTACAATTGAATCATTGATTATGAGATTTAGAGAAGACAATTTACATTTTTAGTGAGCTGGGATGTTGGTCTTTCTGAGTTTCTCATTTATTTGGGGTTATCACATTTAAAAAGCAGGAAAGGAAATGAGCAGCTATTTTTGGCATGGAAGAGATAGCACAACAATACGTGAACTAAATCCAAAGGTTCAATTCTACAGCACTCTATATTTGAAGGCCTTTCATAGTTTTGATTTTGGATCTGTTTAGAGGTTATAACTAGGGTAACCTGCACATTTCGCTTGAATTTGTTTAGTCACTGATGCTCAAAATGAAATTTGGTTCAGAAAATTTTCAGATGTTGAAGATAAGTTGGTTAATTTATATTGTTTCTGACATCTCCAGACTCTATCCTCTGGGCTGGATGATTATCCTCGTTCTTCACATCCTACTGAAGAAGAACGTCACTTGGACCTTAGATGCTGGATGCTCCTTGCTGCAGATTCCCTGCATTCCATTGCTGACTTGTTTGCGAAGGAAAGCAAACGAAAAAAGGTATAATAATGAGCAAGCCTTTCTAAATACTAAATCCATATTTAACTTCATAGACCTTGAAAATGAAATGATGCAGGAATATGGTTCAACAGCTAAGCTGCTTTCAGATTTTGAAATTCTGAATCAGGTATGTTCATCTTTATCATCCTGTCTGAAATTGTTTTTCATTCCTTCACATTCAAATGGCTTCATATGGTACTTTGTAATGGTAATATAAACAATTTCTCTATTGTAATATTGGTGTAATGTTCTAGATAATTAAATCCTTGTGGCTACACATCAGTTAGATACGTTTTAAAGCATACCTTTTGGACTAATCACTGACATAGTTCAGCTTTTTATGTCATCTGTGTTTGACATTTTACCAGATGCATTTTGATCCAGCTTACGGAGCTTATTTTGATTATGGAAATCATACAGAAAAGGTATGCTGCTTTTCTGTTACCGTTCCTGTCAGAATAAAGAGCAGTTTTCTTGAATATACTCACACTTACTAATTGGATGGTGCATGTTTAATCCACCATTAGTGAAAGATATTTTAAGATAATTTTACCCATATACAGATTTGAATGACGTCGGCTTTCCAAAGGTCACCAGTTAAGTGTATATTCAATTTTGTGGTTATGTTTAAATCTGGAAATATTTTTTGCTTTTGTGTAAATGTAAAGAAGCTCTTCCATTTCTCTGCATGCTAGGCCTAGAGCATATCAGTCCTTGAGGGGACAGTTGCTTATTTAGGACTACAATTTGCTAGGCCTGTAGCATGTAACGAAGATGTAGAGTTGCAGGCCCAAGTTTAACTTGCTGCAGTCCTTATTGTTCTACCACCAAGAAGTAGATGAGCATCTGTTGCTAAACAGATTTTTGAGCCATGATCTGTAAACCTATGCCTTAGCTTTTGAAATTTGCCACTAGTACTGATTGTTGGTTCTATCATTCCAGGTTCGTTTAAGTTGGAAAGAAACAAAGGTGGGAAATAACCATCCAACTCGTGAGCTTGTAAGGGAAGTACTAGAAAAGCCAGAGCTGAGATTTGTTCCTCATATTGGTTATGTCAGCCTTTTTCCATTCATGGAGAAGATTATTCCACCTGTAAGCTGCATAGAAGATCTAATGTTGAAAATATTTTTTATCAGTTTGATAGACCTCTTGCCGTAGTTATCATTTGTAACATGGTAGCAGACCACTCATGTTTATTGATTGATTCAGGAATCATGGATTCTGGAAAAACAGCTTGACCTCATTTCAAATAAGAGTATCTTATGGACTGATTATGGACTCCGCTCGCTTGCCAAAACAAGGTGATTTTATATAATTTACCCCTGCTCATATGTCTTATATGATTAATTTCCTTTTAGTATCTTGCTTGTTACTAATTCTAGAATTACTTAAATCTAAAATGTTATCTTAAATGCCACAGCTCCATGTACATGAAACGCAACACAGAGCATGACCCACCTTATTGGAGAGGTCCAATTTGGATGAACATGAATTACAGGATTCTTTCTGCACTCCACCATTACACACAAGGTATAAATTCCTTCAACCCTGAAACATCTACCTTCCCTGACATTTAGTCTCCTAAATTAAATGATTGAAATTCCTGCAGTGAATGGACCGTATAGAGACAGAGCGAAAGCAATATATGATGAATTAAGGAGCAATCTGATCAGGTAACTTCATATTGCCTAGTTTGCCTACCTATATATCCTTGCACCTTACCTGAACTTGTCAGTTAGTTCCAACCTTTTTTTACCTCGATCCTGCAGAAATGTGGTTAGCAACTACCACCAGACTGGGTTTCTATGGGAACAATATGATCAGAAAAAGGGTAAAGGAAAAGGTGCTCGTGTATTCACTGGCTGGACATCACTTGTGCTATTAATGATGGCTGAAGGTTATAGTGAGAGTTAAATCCGTTAATATGAAGTTTTTGCCAACAGAAAAGGGAAACAAGAACAAGTTTTGTACCAAGAGTAACTCTCTACGATTATTTCATGGGGTAGTAATTTTATATTAGCGCTGGTACCCAGTATCAGCACATCTGTATACATTGAAGAAACAAAAAACTCTTATAGAAGATAATTAAAATTTAAAAGGTGTAGCCCCAAATAGTAAATGTCTTTAAGTTATTCATACCCATTAGACATGCACATGCTTCTCTCTTCCGTGAAAAGTAAATGCAACAGTTCACCGCTTGGCATTATTCGGGGCATGGATTCCATTGATTCTCATACCCCTTAACGCAAGCAATATGGAAAATCAAATTGGCCACCGTGGAATGAGCGATAAGTGGTTCGATCTCTTTTAAGTGCTTAGATTCAATATGCTTTCTACATCAACTTTAAGTGGCGCTGGGCTAAAACCCCACACAATTGTCACAATCTTCTTATTATTCACAGCTCATTGCCTTGTACTTGCTGACGGCAAACAGATTAGCATAAGCCGAAAATTCATTACTAGATTGGGACTCCTACCCCACTATGCCTGCTTTGCTAAGGAAAAAAAAAATTACAAAAATACAAGAACGAAATGGGGACCTGTTGTATGTGAGTTGTTAAGCTCTGAGGTTTTATCGATTTGTTCCGATCATCACTTCAACAACGATGTTGGAGTCATGATTCTAACAGTAGCAGTTAATTTCCTAATTGGTCCACTGCGAAGTTTAAACCACCTCAAAAGAATAATTGAAGAAAATCAGGCATTTTAGCTCACATCTTCTGTCATCTCTGTGTCTTCAGCCATTATAATCTCCATGTCCCTAATATCTCGCTTCAACACATTGCCTAGTCTTGCAATGGCCTCAGTCTGCTGTTGTAAAACCTGTGCCCACATAACATGAAGAATCTTTCATTTCAACTTGAATGTATTATGAATTGTTGACAAAGAAGCAGGCGAAACCATGTATTGCTATGCCAAATCCATTTATTCCATAGACAGTGAAACCCTCTATATTGCTTTCAATGAAAATGTAACTAATAGAATAAAAATGGTCAGGTATTTTTATGTGAACTCACTAAAACAATGTTAGAGATAGCATAAAACTTTTGATGTCCAGCATGAAGAATCTATTATTACTGTTATAAAGGTAAGGACACATCAGTTGGACCCATGGCACTTACCTCTTGCATGTCTGCAAGACTCTGTTCATGTATTTTAGTTGATCCTGGAAGATAGAGAGAACCACCAGCACCAAAGGTATTTGCTTGAACACGAGACACAGTAAGGAGGCTTTGGACCCTCCTAGAAAGTTCCGCTCCAGATCCTTTCAGCTGAAAATGTGTTTATTGGTAAGCAATGATATCAGATTCAGACAAGCAGAAAGCATAAAAATTATATCACAGAAAAGTAAGACCAACCTGTCTTGTTACTGCAGCTAACTTCTCAGCCAACTCACCTTCTCCTTTCATTAAGGGTAATCGACAACCTTTACCCTCCAATGCTTCAACAATTCTCATTACCTATGGGAATAACCACACAAAAGTAAGTCAAATTGACTACACTAGAACTAAGTGCATGAATTAATAACACAAGAAGAACTAAATGTGTCCTAGATGATGCAGCTATGTACCTCCTCCTAACATCTTATAGCAATCAGATATTTTCAGGCCATCTGAAGTGAAAAACAACAGAAGAAAGACCAAAATTTTATACCAAAACCACACTTCACCACTATTTCAAGTTCACCAGATTGTTGACCACTAACAACGACACACTGGAAAAGATAAGCTAAAATCTAACAGTTGAACAGAAATTGTTCCTACCCTTAAAAGACGCCTTTGAAGGCTTTGCTCTTTTTGTTTCATTCTTTCAATCCATGGTAGAGTTTCAGCTTGAAAATGCCTTTGAAGCTGCAAAAAATTATCAGAGGTTATAAGAAATTTTAAATCCAAGATATACAAATAAGACTAGGAAAACATAAGAATACCGTTTTCACATTGCTTTGAGTAATTCGTAATCTTTCAGCATCTGATAGAATGACTTCATCCTGGACCTGCATTAAGACCAGTGTTAATACATTAGCAAGTCAGCAACTACAGACAACTAATAGAATACACTCACAGAAAGGAACAAGTGCATAAACCTCAAAAGACAAAGCCTTGAATTAAATTCAGCTACTATACTTGCACCTTATTTTTCATTACAAAAACAAGAAAAAAAAAATGGGGTAACTGCAAGAGCTGAATAAGTCATTACGCTACAGCAGGGCAGTCTTCACCTTGTCATTATATTTTCTTTGTCCCCTAAATGTACTTTACCTCATCAATATAAAACCTTTAACATATTATCCAGTGGAGCTTCCAATGGTTTTGTCTCAGCAGGAAAAAGACATACATGAATATATCTATAACCAAAATACTTCATACATCAAATTGAGAATGAAAACCTTGAGGCGGTGTGAAAGATCCTTGAAACCCTGAACAAGCTGAGGCCATAAGCGTTCTCTGTCTGTACTATCCATACCCTCTAGTTTTCCCATAGCTTCTGCCCACATGATCTACCATGCAAAACTATTCTCCACACTTAGCAAAAGAAAACTCAACGAAATAGCAACACAAGCTTCAAATTCAAATATCAACTCACAAGACAAGAATAAAGAAAAAAACACACTCACATCAGAAACGCCAGCTGGCTTCACCCTATACTGCGGTTCAGTAACACTGAACAACAAATGCTGCAAAATTAACACATTAAGTAAACAAAGAAAACCCTACTTCTCAAATAATCAAATTCCAAGTTTCAAAAGTGACGACAAACTAAACCAACCTTAAAAGCATATTTAGGGTTTGTAGGGTCGTCCTTGTAAGCATCAACAATAGCCTAAATGTATGCACCACACCAAAAAAAAAAAAATCAGAAATAAAAAAACCAAAACCTATGGTTAGGGTTTAAGACTAACACAGAAGAAAACAAAACCTGAATGTCGCGATCGGCGAGAGAGAAGGGGAGTGGGGCCACAGGAGCCATCTGAGTAGTCAATTGAGAATTTGGAAAGGGCGTTGGCTGTGACGGGGTAGATTGAGTTTGAAATCCGAATCCAGTAAATGCGTTATTAGCCGGTTGCTGAAAAAGCGGAGTCTGCTGCTGCTGTTGTTGTTGTTGTTGTTGTTGTTGAGGTTGTGAAGAGAATGGAGTTGAAAATAAAGAAGATCCGAACGACGCTGTAGACGGAGTGCCAAAGCCAGGCGTCAAAGACGGACCACCGAAGGCTGGCGTTGAAGACGGAGTACCAAAGGCTGGCGTCGAAGACGGTGTGCCGAAGGCTGGAGTTGAAGACGGAGTGCCGAAGGCTGGCGTCGAAGATGGAGTGCCGAATGCCGGCGTCGAAGATGGAGTGCCGAATGCCGGCGTCGAAGATGGAGTGCCGAACGTCGGCATTGAAGGTTGAGCTCCGAACATTTTCGCGATGTTTGTGATAGTGGCGCCGGGCGTGTTTTGTGTTTTGAGTAGAAGCTAACGCTATCTACGTTTAATTTGCTTGGCTTTTGGAATCGGGGCTTGGATTTGATAATAACATTTGAATTTAGCGGCCTGCCACGCCACGCGGTCACTATGCCAACGAGCCAAGTTAATTAACTAGTTTCTCTGTATATTAATTTAAAGATTACTTAGAATATTTAAAAAAATATATTTAGTTGATTAAAATAAATTAGTAAATATGTTATATTAAAATATTTAGTGGAGAGGAATAAATCGATAGGTATATTATATAATTTATTAAATTACACTTTTTTTTAAAATATTAATATAATATTATTTTTATTATAATTTTTTTAATAATCTCTTTTAACCCCTTACGTTTGAGATATTATTAAAACACCTCACCTAGACACCTACAAAAAAAAAAGTTTAAAACTTAACAAGAACACCCCCACCCACCCAAAGCTATTATTGGCCGTCTGTCACCACTATTGATAACAGCGATAATGGCTGTAATGATGCACAACCGACTAGATTTAGTCATTTATGAGCCGATCTAGCCATTTCCAATCAGATCCATGATGAATCTAGTTGAAAATGGTCAGATCTATAGCTAGTGTTCTAGCCGTTGACTATCTATCTAGTTGTCTGGCCGTTAACAACGGCCAGATCATCTAGCCAGATATTTGGTCTAAACTTGCTAGATCGGCACACGACTTGCCATATCTGATAGGTCGTGCGACATTTTGACGTCGAAGAGTGGCTGCCACCGACTGATGGCTTGCAGTGGTGGTCAAATCCAGCCACCACCCTTGGGTAGCATTTTTAAAGCCTAAGGGCATTTATGTCCTAAAAAATTTGTATATAAGGATAAAATAGTCCTTAAATTTTTTTGTAATTTTTTTTTTGCAAACAAGGTATTATTGTCCAAAAAATTTAATAGTAGGGTAAAATTGTAACAAAATTAAGATTATCAAGTAATCTTAAAATACCTAAGAAAATTGAAGTAATCAGATTACCTCCTATATTATCAACAATAATGACTATTGATTTTGAAAGATTACCGGAATCTTATATTACTTGACAACCAAACGTGATAATCAAGTAATATAAGATGCATTATCTCAATAACGAGAGATTACTCCCAAGTCCCAACCAAAGACACCCATAATATATATATGTATATAATTCTTTGTTAAATATAATTTACCTAACATTTGTAAAAGCTTATGCTTAAATACCATTGAATTCATCTCTAAAATATCATTTAAATGAATAAATTCAATAATATTTAAACATAATCCTCACAAAAGCAGTATGTTAATTTATGAGTCCCAAGCTCGTCTTTTGATTACACTAGATGCTTTCAAATTTGTGCTTTGTACTGTGCAGATGATTTCGGTTGTGTTTGTTTTGTTATTTTGGGTAGAATTTTTGAAATATTATTGTAAAGTTGAATTTGATTATTATTAAGAGAATATAATTTGAATAAAATGTGTTTGGTAGAATATTTTGACTTTATTATTTGAGTTGAATGATTGTTGAATATTTGTTTGGTATATTTTTTTATAAATGATTTATTGATACAATATTTTAGTGTATTTTGTTAAAATAATTTATTATTATAACCTAAAAACTTATCAATTTACGTTTTAATAACATTAAACATTTGATTGATAATTTCATAACCACTAAATTAAAAACAAATTTCTCATATTAATTTCAAGTACAAATCTAACTGTTGACCGACAGGGCATGTGATGGACTCTAAGTCTGAAAAAACGTCGAAACCTCCCCTTCTACTGAAAGTAGTAATCAATCCTGCAATAATGGGCCAAATTATACTAACATTTGGCCATATGATCATAATTTATTCTTACTATCAAATTACGACGTTGAATCTACGAAACAAATATATAAATTAGACAAATCCCAAAAAAAAAAATATTTGGAATAATGAAACAAACACAAATCTTTTATTTTTTTCCAGAATTTTTACTCTTAAATTTCCCCATAAACTCACCACACAACACTCACTAGTTACCGTCACTTTTATTTTTCCTTTTTCTTTGTTCTGAAAAGTTTTTTACTTCTAAAATTTCTCCAGCTAACCACTCACTTTTCTTTTTTACTTTTTTGTTCTTTCTTTTTTCCTAACTCCCACCTTCCCCGATCCTGCGGCTCCCCGCTTTCCAAATCCTCCTCCGGTTCTCAGTTTTCTATTTTATTTTATAATTTTTATTTTATGAAAACACATTTGTGTCACACCATCTTTTGTAACAACACAAACTGGGTTTTGGTGGTGAAAAATGTAATACCCACGTTCAGAAATATGGTAGAGATTATTTTATAGTCATAGTGAATATATTTAACTAGTTTTATAGAGGAATTCCATAAAAGTTTCAATAGGAGTAAAATGGTCATTTCACACAGAATCACGTGTTCAAGTGAAAAGTGAATATGATAAATATAATGTATTAAGTGTGTTAGCCATGAGAATAGAGTGGTAGAAAAATTATGGACAATATACGTGATGTGATACCGGGATAAATACGTGTTTGTAAAGTAATAAAAAGAAATTAAAGAATAAGGGTAAAATAGTCTTTTCACTCATAACTAGATGAAAAGGTGGAGAGTGAAAAGACCATTTTACCCTCATTCTTTAATTTATTTCTATTACTTTACAAACACGTATTTATCTCAGCATCACATCACACGTGTATTGTCCATAACCTTTCTACCACTCTATTCTTATGGCTAGCACACTTAATACATTATATTTATCATACTCACATTTCACTTGAACACGTGATTCTGTGTGAAATGACCATTTTGCCCCAATTGAAACTTTTATAGAATTCATCTATAAAACTAGTTAAATATATTCACTATGACTATAAAATAATCCCTACCATATTTCTGAACGTGGGTATTACAAAAGAAATCTGGTGCTCATTTCACGGATCCTAATAATATACTCTACTAAAAATACTTTACTACAATCACTCACACACACAAACACAATACATAAACAAGAAAACCACACAAACAAACATAATACATAAACAATAAAATCTGTGGCATATGTGAAAAAAGCAGGGAGTTGTGCACCGAAATAGTATAGATCGGCCTGATTGAGCTTCATAAGAGGTTGAACGCATGTGGAAGAGAAGCTGCAACGGTGGTTGGAAGAAGACAGACTGAAGAGATAAAGAAGAAAGAAGGAAAAGAGAAAAAAAAAAAAAAAAGTTGCAGATGGCAGGTGGAAGAGAGAGTTGTCATGGTGGTTGGAAGAAGACAGACCGAAGAAATAAAGAAGGAAAAGATTAAAAAAAAAAAAATTTGCAGGTAGCAGGCCTCACAAACAGAATGGTCAAATATGTATGGAATCAAATTTTTTGGATACAATTCCCTAAGTAACAAAACAAATGCATATTCTAAAAATTGAAGCCCAAATAGTATCATAAATAGTTATCCAAACGCACTCTTCGATATTCACTAGCATTGTATGATTTTTCTTTTCTTTATAGTTAAAAATTGAGGATAAAATATAATCTTGAAGAGTCCATTTTACATAAACAATTTATTTGTTAACCAAATGAATGAGTAACAAGTCTAATTGTTAGAAAGATATTGAATTCCCTCTTGATTCAAGATTACTTAGATTTTAAAGGATCTTGTTATGTATGACTCCATATCACACTTATAATAATATGGTAGTAAGATCTGCTAAAGGGCTAATTTTTGTCATCAAAGTCATTTCTTTTACATGAAATGCAATTATCGTTATCATGATAATGCTTTAAATACAAATTTATTATAGGATATAAATTGATTTACAACCCAATCTTACAAACTTTCTCTCACAATCTCAACGTGGTAACTCACAATTTGTCAGCTCACAAATGGCAGGCGAGATCTATAACGACTAATGAGCAGGCAAGACCTATTTGCAAACTGACCAATTATAAACTGCCACGTCAAGATTGTAAGAGAAAGTTTGAGAAATCGGGTTGGAAGTATAGTATTACCTATGACATATCTACACAACGACCAAGGAAGAAATGCGAGCAAGTTAACCATTACTGGGTGATATGATGGTAAAAAAACAAAAAAATGTTTCATGAACATTTGAATTCGAGTCCTCCCAGACACTAATAGGAGTAACCACCGGAGCTCTTACCCGATCGACAGTTTCAAGGCCCCAAAAAATTAGTGGAGATACAGTCAAGCTAACCCAAACACATACAGTGATTAAAAAAAAATGCGAGAAAGAGAAGGCAGTCAAGGCACTGTCAACCAGAATACATGATAAGAAACTATTTCATCAATAAGTCTTGAGGCCTAAAAGATTAGTCCAATAGACTCGTCTAAAACCTGGCAACACATTGCCAAACCAAAACAAATAAAAAGTTTTTAACCTGATTCAATTAAAATACAATAAGCCAACCAAATCTGAAGAAGCATTTTGGAATTTTGCAATGAAGCTTTACTTTCAAGCAATTATTGTCACACTGCACAAGCACAAACCAGACGGCTTTATCCTGGAGGTCTGCCATTCTGAACCTGGAGCTGCATGAGGATCATAGAGCAGAGTGTTGTAACCAGGTTCTTCTTCTAGAGAGAAAAGCAAAAGCTTTCCGTCCAGTATCCCAAATCGGAACCCAATGGATGAGCTACCAGTCAAGGGAACTGGCACCATCTTCCATGAATTGTCCTCTGGATCGAATATGGCCAATTTCCTCTGGTTTTTCCACTCCATACAGAAGAGCTTCTTTTCGATCACAGCATGAGCAGTGACCATGACACAACCATTCTTCATCTGACACCAGGCGTGCCTCTCAGGGTTGTAGACATCAACGAACCTTGAATTTCCAATGGTGAAGCTCGACCTTCCACCCATAACATAAAGTTTCCCATCAAAGCCACACGCAAAACAACCCCATCTTGGTCTTCGAAGACTCTCTATCAGGGTCCACTCGTCAGTTTCGGGGTCATACACCTCGGCACTTGAGAGGCTTTCTCCATCTGTCCCATAGCCTCCAACCGCATAAACCATGCCATTCACCTCAGCACAAGCAAATTCATAACGGGCCACATTCATGTTTGCCAATTTGCTCCAACTGAAATTACAGAAGTGTTACAAAGCTAGCAAGAATAGAAAAGCAAGCCAACTTTGAACAAGAATAACGTTCCAGACTGCAACAGCCATAATAGACACAAATAATGCAAAGACGCACTCCCAGATTAACTAACTTCCCACATCCTTCTACAATTTCAATTGGAGTCTACGATCACTTCAAAGGAGTTAACATGTTTGAGGCCAGTGATGATAATTAATTGGAAGTCCCAGTTTATAACCATTCACACAACTCACAACGTGCACAGAAACCTTCAAATCAGGGCGGATGTAGTACATGGCCCACCCCTAAATTTGTTTAAAAAATATTAATATATACAATTTCTGGATTTTGGCCCACCCTAACAAAAATATTAATGTGCAATTAGTTTTTATTTTGACCTACCCTAACAGAAATTTCTAGATCCGCCCCTGCTTCAAATGGTAATATTCTTAACTAGTAAAATATATCATAAATTTCCCCAGCCAAAGATATAATAGTAATCAAACAAATTAAATTTCTTGGCATCCACTAGCCTAAGATATTATTAGCAATTACTATAACAGAAGTACAAATATTTCATAACTGCTCAAAAATTCTATTCCTGACAAGTGAAAATTGGCAGATCCAATGACAAAATATTAAGGCCAGCACAGAAGATGAATGGAAACAAACCTGTTAAGGCAAGGATCATATTCGTAAACATCTGCAGAAGCAGAGCCAGTCCCATCAATCACTGAATAACCAGCCATTACAAGAAGCTTTCCGTTAATGACAACCACCCCAAACCCAGCCTTCACTGGACCAGGCATCAGTGGAAGAAACCGATGTTTGTTTCCCTCACAATCCAAAACCTCCCATTGGCTTTGCTTTCCTTCTGCATCCATAGTTAAGATGCAAAGCCATTCCTCAAGCAACCCAAGTAATTTCCTGACGGTGATGAATTCTTTGCTCCGGATATAAGACCTCCATTTCTTGGAGACAGCACCCATAGAGGGGAAATTGGAACGAGGAACAAGTGCAAGGATGTACTTTGACACGTCATCTGGGAGCCCTGGTAAAATGGGGCTGTCCAGATCATTAGCAACCTCTGAGGTTAAACGAGGATTGCTTTTCGAATGAGTTAATGTGTGTTGCTCGCTCAATGTGGAGAAACACATATTTGGTTCTGTAATTCTCTTCTTTCCACTTACAAAACCAGGCATTTTAAATATTGCAAAATGAGGAGAAGTTGATGATTCTTGTACTTGTTCAATTATATATTCCAGAGAACCTAACTATGCTTTTGTTTCAAATGACAAACAATTGATTAAAGAAATTCATGAAATCCATCACCTATGGGCATTTTACAAGACCAAGGCATAAAAGATGTTGCAGAACGAATCACTTGAGCAGTAAATGCCGAGGATTTTCTATGTTTTGTCCAGTCTGATTCATACTCCATACCAGAAAGTTTGCTCTTGAAGTAGTTTCTTCCTCTTAAAGTGGTATCTTCTAGATCTCTAATTTTAACTCTCCCACCACACATTTCCCAGATATCTACACATAAAAGGAGAAGATCGTCACAATAGTTTCAAGTATAAGAGTACACAAAACCCAGTACTTATCCACAAGATCATAAGAGTTGAGAGAATATAAAATTACCAATCAAGGCCATAGAACATAGCAAGTTCTAGCCCCCATTAACCTCCATTTCAATAGATTGTTTAACCACCTGAATCAATCGCATTACAAAAAGAACAGTCAATTAAAATTTACAAAAACTGGATGTTAGTTATAAAAGTGAATAAATACATAAATAGCAACGCTGACCATAAAAGGCAATTCTACCAGCACGTTCAAATTTCCAGTTAACTAACGTAATTATGGCTCGTCATAGATTTGACTACAGTTTTCAAAGGCCGGCACCTAAAACTAAAATGGCATACTATAATTGCAAAATCAAGCAAACAATTGTCAATTATATATATTAATTTGACCGCCCAACAGATCACTTGTTCTCCACTTTATCGAAGACAAATGAAATGGACACAATAAAGGATCCAAAAACCATTTCAATATTTCTCTTAACTGGTAATAGCATAAATCTCAACTTCAACAACCTACCTACCAAAACCCAAGAAGGTAAAAACCAGAAGAATGAATTTAACAGATCTCCATTACAAGGCAATATCACCTCCGAATAATGTATTAATAAACGGAATTGAATAAACGGATCCGACATCAATAAAGTCCTTAAAAATATTTGATATTGAAAAACAAAAAATCTGATTAAATGAAGCAAGGATATTAAAATCCAAATTCGCGGAAAAACAACTAATCAGATCTGAGTTGAATGTAAAACGTAGCTTGACAACTGGTTCTATCCCTATTATAAACCAATCAGAAATGCTAAGTTTAAGCGTCAGAAGTATTCAAACTCTTATATATTTGACCGACACACCTGTCGGACACAAGAAAAAACATGTCCGAATCCGACAAAATGTATAACCGAAGATAGCAATCTTGAACAAGTAAACAGATCTGAATAGTCGAAATAACCATAAAGAACGCAAGAATTACCTGAAAATCGGAGGTTACGGGATACGGAAAAGCTGAAAAAGAGTTCGTTGAAGAAAGAGAGATAATGATAAATGAATTGTCTTAGGTTGATGGTGAGCTAAAAATGAGGATGAATAGATATAAATATATGGAAAGACTAGAAAAAAGGAGGAGAAGATAAAATTAACAGAGCGCCACCACGTCAAGATGAGAATGAGATTTTCACTCAAACCGGTGACGGTGAGGATAAATAGATAGATTATAGATAGAGACAGAGTGACGAGTATTATGTAATAGTAATTGTTGTGTTGTGTTGTGTTCCCAAAATAAAAGGGTGGCAAAATATTTTCTTAATTGCTTTGTCGAAATTTGAACTCGTGATCGTGGGAGATTATTTTAGTGTGCAGCTGCAGCAGGAGATAGCATGATGGTTTGTTCTGTATCTAATCTGATTGATGGTTGATTATCGTGTTGAGTGTGTGGTTACAAGTGGTGGGTCATAGTGAATTTGTTGATTGATGTGGAAAGGAATGTGGACTTTTGGGGTGAGGGGTGTAGAAAAGTTCTATGTAAATATTATATTATATTTAATTTAATTTAAATTAAATATTATTTTGGTTAGATAAAGTGGAGATGAGATGACTGGTATCCACGGCGTCGTTCTCTTTTCTTTATTTATTCCTTCATTTACTGGCTAATATGCAAGATGCTTGTTTTAGTCTAATCTACTTGTCAATGCTAGTGTCCGGATAAGGAAATCGTGACGTGTAGATTTGTATTTATTTGTTAGAAGGTTGAATTCATGCACCAAATAATGTGGTGTAATCTTAATCGTCGATTAATATTAATTAATCGATAATCATAATTATGTTACGTTATTTGATGTATTAATTCGGTGTACTTCTTTCTATAATTGTAGCATTACTCATTATTATGCTAATAAACGAATCTCACAAACCTGACTTGGCACTTGAGTTGATATTATCACATCAACTGACGACTTTGATTAAATGTGAACGATCGTTCCTTAAGTACAAACAATAATTCATTCATAAAGAACAATTGTTATCGTAAGGAATGACCATTCTTACTTATAAAATAATTGTTCCTTACAAATGAATGACCATTCTTACTTATAAAGGAATGGTTGTTTTTACTTATGAAGGAACAGTCGTTCGTCTCTAAGAACGATCGTTCTTTTATAAAGAATAATTGTTCCTTTATGATCATTTCTTATAAAAGAATAATCATTCATCCTTAAGAAACGATTGTTCATCTCTAAGAGATCACCGTTCGTATTTAGTCAAAATAATTTAGTGTTTTGGATGTGGTAAGAGCTACCAACTCAATTACTATACCAAATTTGTGAAAGAAAGTTTATGAGATTCGTTTGTGATCGTATCTTCATTCTTATTAGAATCTTTAATTGTATATTAATGAATTAACTCAAGTAATTAGCAATAATAAAAATAGAGAACGCACCTATTTGCAGTACCATAAATTGATGGCAAAGGAATGTCAATAATTTTACATTTCAACAGTTGTTTTTGATTGATCGATTGCTTTTGTTTTGACTCTTATGGATAAGGAAATCGTGACGTGTAAATTTTCAGCTATTTGTAGAATCTTTAATGGTATATTTTATGATTTAACTTAAATAGTTCGCATTAATACTTTTACATTTCAACCGTTGTTTTTTTATTGGCCGATTGCTTTGGTTTTGACTCTTACGGGTTTCTCCTATTTTTATTGGTAGTCGTACTACCAAAATTCCAGTCAATTATGATTTATGACAATATCATCAAAGTGGGACGTGGAATATATTCCCATTGAACAATTCAAACTTATCTTTCTATTTTTTTTATATTTTTTTTGTTTTGAGAGTAAAATGTAGTCACATAAAATAGAAATTAATATGGCCTATCAGATATCAATTGATTTTATATAGGGAATCAAAGTGAGAGGGATCGATTGGTAATTTGAAAACTGACTGACATGGACAAATGAATCCAATTTGCTCTATATGTCCCTTACCACAAAAAAGTTGTGGTACAACCAATCGAAGGAGTCAAGTTCATTGAGATTCATATTAGCTCTCACGCATTGATCTTACATATTATAAGCAGAGTACTTATAAAAAAAAAAAAAAAATGTCTTCTCCATCTTATTTTTTTTTTACTTATAAACTCAATTTATAAGTTAAAAAAAATTATAAATAAACATGTCAACTTAATTTTAGAATTTTCAAATTAGTTTAACCAGTTTATAAGTTTAGACAAACACCTCTTAACAAACTTT